ACTTAAATACTTCTAAAGTATTTGACACGTGAAAATTAGATTAGATTTTGATTAAATCCGTATTATTTAAAAAACCTTAAGATGTAGGTTTTATAAACCTTATTAAAACAGACCCTTATTTTGTTCAGCGAATCCAAAATGCAATAATATACAGGACATTCCATTTAAAAAAACGCAACTTTGATACCTTTGGAGCCTTCGGAACACCCTGTACATTACAAAAATATTTTGAAAATGTGCGCTCGGTAGGCGTCGGACAATTCATAAAATAATACTTTTGAAAAATCAAACGGTTTAGCCGCAAACTTCCGTGCCGTATAGCGTGAATAACCCTGTATAATAAAATTGTGTTTTTATGTCTTTCATGCTCTTCCACCCATTATCTGCTATATCTGAATAATCACTATTAATGAACAAGGATCATTGAACAGTCGTTACATTAATGTTAAATGCTTAGCACACTGGAGCAGGAGCAAATGGTGGAGGACAATCCCTATCGAGTCCCGGTTCCTGCTTGGAGGACTTTAGAGCATCGCCATTTATCGAGTGTAATGGAGCGCAAGGTCACTGCCACTACTTTTCCAACATGTTGAGTTTCTGGTTGGCGACCATCGAACAGAACCAACAGTTCCAGAAGCCTCAGAAACAGACCCTGAAGGCCGGCAATGTTCGCGACCGAGTGAGCAGATGCCAAGTCTGTCTCAAGAACACGTAGAATTCTCGTTAACTTAGACAATCCGATTTATTAAATAATTATTATCGAAACCACGAGCGATCCTTGATTGGGCAACAGCCCGCTATGGATGGTTCGCTGTTCGTCAAGCGTGTTCAGCCGATGAGTGTTCCGTTCAATTGAAGTACTTGATTATCTGTTGTGATATGGATTCGGATGATCAAGTACTTTTGATCACGTCGTGAGTAAAACCCGCTTATAAATAACTCTTAATACTGCCGTGCCATGTCGTAACATAAAATCATGTAGATTCCTGTATAGTAATTTTAGGTTTAATTGTATGTAAGTATGTAACCTTAAGTAGGTACGAAGTTTCGGGGGTATAAACGAACACACACCTATGTCTTTTTTATATATTTACAAAGTTGATTTTGTGATGCCACTTTTTTAATACTGTTTTCTATTGACCGGTTTGCTTTCCATCTGATCGATAAATCAAATAATATTTATGCGTGTTTCTGTAAGGCAGTGATTTCCCGATTTCTCCACAATAATCAAACTCAAAGTTCACATTCCCAACGGTTTTTCCACTTGTTTTAGTCTAGTCAACTCCAATCAAGCGAACACAATGCCAAAAGTCACTGCGCTAATTTTTCGTAGCTCTCTTTAGCTTATTTTTTTCGAGCACTGCCATTTGTAATATTTATACATATTAATATACATTGTTAGTCGAGAATATTTGCTCGTTGCTGATATATCCACTGTCTTCTTACACCGCTGTTCGTTGAAATAAATGATTATTTTTCATTGGTTTTGTGTTTTTATTATTTTTGTCCAGTCTGGCAGGAAACTTTCCCAAATCCTTATTGCACTCAGGTTTCCATCCTGACTGATGATGTTTTATAGAACTTAAACGTTAGAGGTAAATTTGGTGAGAAGATGCTGTTTTTGAGGAAAAAGGGATACCAAATGCTGGAAGAAGAAGAAGAGGATTTGAAATTAATAAACAAGAGAACTTCCAGTAAAGTCAATTGAACTCGTGCCAAATACGAGCGAGCTAAAAACTAACTGACCATCGAATTGAAGAAATGAGCAAAATTAGCAAAAAGTTGGTCGATTAAATGCATTATCAAAAACGTCGCCTCAATAAATCTCG